CCATCAGGTGAAAGCAAGGATAAAACCCATATATCAGTACATGGATTCTATTTTTTAATACCCATTCCTAAACATGCACTAAGATCTATCCTACCAAAGTTCTGTTTTAGTGATTCATGAAAACATATCATTATGCTTTTATAATATATTTTAATAGCCTTCATGACTGGAGGACACTCTTTTCTTTTTCTAATGGTGATCATCTTCATGTGTTGTTTTTTATTTTCTTTCTCTGTGTCTTTTTTCCTTCTCTCTGTGATGTATTAAGTCCTCTCAGATTTTAAAGCAAGTCAAATGCCTCACAAAGGTAAAGTGGGTTTTCATGTATACTTGCATTTTCTTTTCCTATCCTACCTATGCCTTCCATATTGGAACAACAGGATTCCATACGGAAAGCATTAGGCAAGTTTAACTTTGGCCTTGCATTCAGCCCCGTAGAAAATATAAAGACCTTCTCTAACATAAGTCTCACTCTTGTTCCTACCAAACTCCCATAGCTTTCCTACAAACCACATCACACTCGGCTCCTGCAGAACCATTGCCCGATCTGGTGCAGCAGACCTCATAAGCCTTCTAGTCAAACATAGTCTCTGTTAACCACGCGTAATATCTACAGGGCAAAACAGACCCACTGAGACCTGGGTTTTTACTTTGTCTTGTTCATTAACGGTTGAGGGGCTTGGGTTTTCTTTCTATGAGCAATGTTTTTTTTTAATGCTATCCCTCCAGTTTCTTTCATTTTGGTATTTCAAGCATTGTGTTATTTAAAACGGAAAACAAGCTTCTTATTAATGGCCACTGAATATTTTTTTCTTTTGCTTTTAGAGGACACACTGCCCGTGTTTTCTCCCACTCTTTTTCTCATTTTGCAAAGTGTTCAGAGAGTGCTACCCTTAAAACTCCATGCTGCCTGCCACATCCTACCTTGAAGCAAAAGGAGGGAAAAAGTTTTCCTGACAAATAACTCAAAAGACTTACCAAAAATGATATTAGATACCTTAAATATTCGCAATTTCTAACAAACTGGATATTTTGCTTTGGGGAGAGAGAAAATGACACCCCATCGGGTCAGTCAGCTCTACTACAGTTCTCAGATATGGAGGCAGCTCACCAGCTGGGGAAGAATAAGAGTTGAGAAACAAGCAGGAAACACGTGGATATTGATTTCCTGCATGACCCACTGCTTACAGGGACTAGGCTGGGTGCTAAGGAAATGTAATTCCAGCTCTGCTTTGTTTTCCCAACCTGAAGGGATCACCACACCTTGAACAAACCTCACAGCCTCCCCATGTCTCAGTTCTTCAACTAGTAAATGAGGATAAGTGTGGACTGCTCACTGACTGCTCACTATACCGTACAGTGGAAAGATCCAAGACTTGTAAACCGCCATTTCCTTCTTCCTGGTAAATTAGGAGTGCTTAAAAATTTGCTAGATTAGATCTGTAGCTAGATTAGATCCTTACTGTGTTCTGAAGATCTCCTAACATGCAAAATAAGGTCAAAGCAGGAGAAAAAAATTAGACAGTGAAAGAAGTTTATGAACAGGTAACAAGAGACAATAGATAAGAACCAATGTTTTTACATTGAGCGGGCCCCTCTTGAAGCTTTAGGATCAAAGTTTCTGCTTCCCTGACTCTCCCAAACTATTTTGCACATTTGATTTGTCTTTTTCTTATTGAAGCTGGAGTTGTTTTCTATTTCAGTTACCTCATGCTGTTCCCCAACAAGTGTTTTTTTTTTTTGTCACATATAAATCTAACCTGTAAGAGTACAGATATTCTAAAAGTGGCGTACAAGCTTCAACACTGCAGCACCTATAGTGTTTGCTATCCATCCACTGCCTGGGGGTAAAATGATTAAGAGTAAGACACCAGTCTAAGGCAGAGAGTTTTTTTGTCTGAAAATACCATATCGACTACATGCAAAATCATATTGGTGGCTGGAGCCCTAAGGATCTTTATTTAATTGCTGCTTTGCTTTCTTGGGTTGCCTATACTGGCTTTCTCAGATCCGTCCTTTCAGATAACTGTACATTGCCAGGTCACTATATAAGCACAACCTTATTTACCCTAAGGTAGACTCTCCCTTAAAAATAAATAAATCAGCTGTTTCCATAGATTTAAAGGAATCATCTTACACTATTTTCCAGTTAAACTTGACTTGGTTCTGAGTTGATTTTTTTCAGTGGCATTTACCTAATCCCTTTCGTGTGTCGCAGAGAATCTACCTTATTACATGCTAGCTCAGTAGAAAAGGTGAAAGGAATCCTTTGTGTTAGCTTTTCCTCTCCACTGAATTTTCTTTCAGTCACTGATGACTGGACTCTCTTTATGATTTATAATGAAATGTCTTTCATCAGGCAAAGGTAATTCTAAATGGCTCTCTCAAAAGAATGAATCGTTATCCCAGCTTCTCCGAACTATAACAGTGGGCTAATATAGTGTTCAAAGTGCTAACCTCTCAGCTAAATCTAGCTTATTCTGTAGAAAAAGCTGCTAGTGTGTGCACTTCTGTCCACGTGAAAGTAAAGGTGCTTTTTGCAGTCTGACTTATTCTGCCTTATCTGACTGTGAGCAAACTAAAGTGCTCACAGTATCAGTAGCTAGTAAAGCAGTAGCTTTGTAAAGCTGCTTTAAAAAGTCAAGAGCAAGTCATTCTTTCTCCTTTTGCCCAGTGTCCACACTGGGATAATGCTAACCATTCTAATCTATGTGATTGTTAAACTGCTAAAAAAAACGTAAATTTTATTTATGATCTGAAATTTACGATCATACCTGAAAGGATGCAACGATGGCCATTCCGACACAACCCAACAATCCAATACATAATGAAAGTATGTTGCATGTAGGACTAATAAAGCGTGATGACTCATTTTGCTTTTCTATTACTAAGGATCTGATACACATTGTAGCTACACCTAAAAAGCAAACAAAAAGCATATTTTGTTCAAGATCAGGTTTCTTTTACACTGGATCCTACAAAGAACAATACTATTATTATGTATTCATATATATATTATATATATAATATTCAGAGCACGTATGCATGCATACATACCTAAAATTGATGAAATATTAATCATAAAGCAAAAGATACCGCTCTCTGGAGGCTTAGTTCCAGTGTCACTAAAGCAAGAAGAGAGACAAGAAATTAAAAGTTAATTCACTGCATTTGTGAAACGCAAGAGATGCACACATGAAACCTCAAGAGTAACATTACCTGTGTGAACTACTGTAAACCCATAAATTGGAATGTCATGTATGTTATATTTAAGCTTTGTTTGTATTACTTTGTTTTTAGAAAGAAAACAGTTTTAGAGCATAGTATTTGAGCTGCATTCATCCTTTTCTGTAGGCAATGAGTAGACGTGTGATGGATTGGGATACTTCACTCATGAATGATATTAATGGTTACGTAACTGATATGTTAAAATGTAAGGGAAGTGGGTTTAATTTCCTGATTTCAGAGTATTTTACCCCAGGACAAAAACTAGAAATGTTCCTAACATACTAATGTAGATAATTTGCTTAATTTACTAATGTAGATATAGCTTAAGAATTCTTTAGACCTGAGGTGCTACAAGCCTTTTCTGCTAAAGCTGTTCCCCTAGCTGTTCCTAGCATACTTCTGTGAGTAGGTGGGTTCAAGTCCCCTCAAGCAGATTTTTTCATCCAAGGTGAATGCTCTGCTGAAATAGGAGGAAGGGCAATGCCATCACCTCTCTGCCCTGTGTTGTCTTGTTTTAGGTGCAGCCAATCTGAGAATATCTGTCAGGTTAAGCTCTGACACCCAAGCCCCTTGAAAACGTGTAGTCTATAAATCCTTAGGGAGCTCAGATGCGAGATGAATTCTCCCTAAGTCACCAGCACCAAGAGACAGGGGTGTGCATGTGTTCAGCCTGAAGCCTTGAGCTGTATCATACAGAAAAGAAAGCACTCCAAATAGGTAATCATTTTTCAGTAAACTTTAAATTTTGAAATTAAAAAATAATTCTTTATTCATGCTAGAAAACTAGAACATATCAAAGGATTTGGTTTCTTAGAAACTGCATTCTCAGACTCCATGTATGCTTACAGATGTGTTCGTGTATCAATTGCTAAACTGATTTGTCAAGAAGAGTAATAGGAAGAGTAATAGGAATCCTTCACTATGAAAAGCCAATGTAAATTTTCTGTTTCCTTTTGACTGGATTTTTTTCCAAATCCTCAGACAGCAAAAGCTTTGGATTCTTAAACATTTAAACAAGTTTTCCCAACTTCTCAAGCACTGATAATCCCTATTCATCTACCTGCTATTATGTTTTCTGGCTATAACATGCACTCTGAACTGTTCTTGTTTTGCTTTGATGGTAGAATTGATGGAAACAATATGGTGACATTTCTCTAAAAATCATTTTAGTCCGTGCTTCTTTACCCGTTTTTTTAACCTTGAATATCACAACTTTTCCTCATCTTTCTGAAGGGTTCTTACAAATTCAACTGAGGACTTCACTTAGAAACTGAGCCACTTGTGACCTCCTTGAAGGACTTCTGCAAATCAGAAACTGCTCTGCACCAAGTACTGGATTGTGATCACTTCAAAGCTTTTGGAGGGCTTTAGGTGAGAAGAGAATGGGATTGGCACATGCAAAGAAAGCAGCCATTTGAAGTTCTCAGAACATTTCACATCTTAAGAGCAATCCAAATAACTTGAAATTGCACTTAACGACGTTTATTTTATTTTATTTTTTTCTCAAGCTAAAACTTTACAGGGGAATTTTGTATTACTGTTTTTTAAGCTCAGGAATCTTAGACGGATTTTTTTTCAAGTAATTCCATACCAAAAATATTTTATCATACCTAGATGTACTTATGAAGTATTGCACTAGACACAATCACCACGCTTTGTATTTAAAAATCCCTAAAGTTAGATATAGGTTTTGCTTACTTCTGGTATTTTCTGGTCAGGAAAAAAGAAAGAGTATTTGATGACAAAAAGAAAAAATATGAAACAAAAACTTATGTTCATTTAATTTGCAAGTGCATAGGTGGGCACAACCATCATGGAAAAGATGAATAACCTAGTACGAAAATGACAGGATTTTTGTCATTGTGTCAGGAAATAGAATCATTCTAAGTCAAACTTTCTTCTGAAGAATTGAAAGAAAGAAGATAAAATAGAAGAGAGAGGGAGCAAATATTTTAAGGCCAAAAAAATATGTTTTCTGATCTTCTATATATAGAAATCATAAAGTTCAACTATTTCTCTCCAAAGTCCTTTTGTTTTTTTATCTGGAGGTAGCAACTGAGAGCAATTACCTTTTGGGAATTTCCTCCAAGTCTTTCACTGAGAATTCAAACCACCAAATAGTCAACCCAAATTCGTTTGGATTTTAAGTACCATGAGCAAAAAAAGCTCATCTGGGTACAACCAAATCATTTTCTAGGCCTCAGGTCCAAGAATAACTAAAATTACATTAATTTTTGTCTATCTGGAAATGCATTTATGTGGTTTATTTCTGTGACAAAGATAGACATGGCTCTTCTCTCACCATGACAGATGTTATATAGTAAATAAATAAAATTAATAAGTTACCTCAAGACAAACACAGGGTGCCCGAGCAATTTGAATAAGAATTTCATAAATGTCAAACTAAAATTTGTCAGCATTTTTCTCCTTTGTCTAACTGGAGTTTCCCCATGCAAACTTGGTTTTATTTTTAAAGTTCATTTTACAATTGCACAACCGAAATTTTGCAACATTCTTCCTCTTTCTCTTCTATCAAAGTTTTCACTAAATCATGCTCTTAATTCCATGATTCGGTTTCATAGAGTAAGGCTATGACTTATAAAATAAGAATATGGACCACGTTATGACTTGTACCAAGATCGGCTGCCTTTACAAGTGTTACAAATTGTTCTTTGTCAAGATATAACCCTTCACCCAAATGGTGTATTGAAAGGATTAAAAATACACAAGACATTTGTTTTACTTAAAACTTTTTACTAGTAAAACAAGAGGTCCTGAAATATTTTTTAATCACTGATGCAGATCTCACCTGGGTTGTTTTTATAAAGGTATGTGGATGGGCATTTATTGTGATTTCATAGTTCAGAGAATGATTTTTTTCAGTTATATTGTACCTGCACCCAGATTCCTATTTATGTAACTGTGGCAGCTAGGAAACCTTCATCAGTTACAGAGCTGCAGCTTGTAGGTTTGGGCTAGCTCTTTGAAAAGCATCACAGATAAGTCAACTTATCTGTGCTACTCTATGGAAAGAAAAGTTACACTGAAAAACAGGTATCCTGTTAGTCATGTATTTCCTTCAAGCCCAGACTTGACCACATAATCTGTTGTAGGCAGCTCAGCAAAAATAAGCAAGAAGCCCGGCTTTAGGTGGCTCATTTTGAATGAAGGTCAACCTTCTTGTGGGCTGCAGTGTCACTGGCATCAGCTCACTTAGGACCACAGACCTAAACACTCAAGTAAATCTGCGTGTATGCATAACTCGGGTTAGCAGCCTTATGAAATCACCCCTGTCCATAAGGGCATTCAAGGAACTGGGTCTAAATCTATCTCAAAACATGTGTTTGATAAGCTTTTTCAGATCCTCTGAAGCATCACAGCCATTCTTCCATTCCCAGCTCATTTTTCATCTATTAAGAGCTAAAGGCTGATAACTTTATTATTTAAATGTAAGCACTAGCACAGCCAGTACAGTGATTGCTAAAGAGCGTAGGTGGAGATCTCATCCTGGGGAGGGCTGTGCAATCACTTCCACAGTGAGCTTTGAAAGACCCGTGTGTGGGGGGGCTCCAAGCCATGCCACCCCTTGTGCCCGTGGTCCCACTCGCGCAGGTGCTGAAGGAGCACTCGCTCACAGGGCGGGCAGCGCAAGCCTTGCGAGGACAAGGCCTGCAGCTCCCTCTGGCAGAAAACCCTTTTAAGATGCTTTTTCCACCACATGCATCGGCCCGGGGGCTCTCAAGGAAGGGTGGGCGTTAGGAGTGGGATCACTGCCGCCTTTTCCCCGAGGGTGCCAGCTCTGTCATTCCATCCTCCAGTGCCTGTCTGTGTGGGATGCCCCAGGGTGAGGGGCACGGAGGAGGTGGCTCTGTCCTATAGGCCCCTGACGCCCGCTGCGCCCTGCACCCTCCTCACCTGATATAGGGCACGAAGGGGGCGACGGGTCCCGACACCACGGCCAAC